TACTGTCTACAGATATTTGTGGTACTTTGTACGGAGAACCCTTTCCTGGAGATAAACCCGTTGATTGACCTAACGATCTTATCGCTCTATGTTCAAATCACACATTAAAATAGTTTAAAACGTTGTTTGATAGATTATCGTTTACCATGCCATGTCATGTGCTCATTTCCATTTTGATCTTGCGTAGCATTTCTATGCAACTGAGTAGACTACAAAATTAAAATTACCTTATCTTTATTCTTTCTCGCGAAGGCCGTTCAGGTTCCGCTCCCGTTAGTCCGGTTTTACGAACTCCACGTTCCTCTCCTGTCCCTCAACCTGCACACGCTCCGCATTCCGCTCTTTTGTCATTTGATGTGACAAGTTTAGCCTGTCCGGGCGGTAAGCCTCTGAGGGACCATAAAGCAGCATTATTCCACCAAACTGCTCGAGACCGTGAACTGCTAGCTAGTCTGCAACAGGCGATTGTCACTGCTGTTGGCCCTGCGGCTTGTCTGTCTACTTCGGGCGTGCTTTATATGCGTGTTTCTTATCACGAGGCTGGAGCACTAATCGGAACTCGTGGCTGTCGCATTCGACAAATCATGGAAACAACTGGAGCCAAGATTCACGTGGGCAAGGTTAGTTGATCTGGGGGTTCCCGATTCATGCACTCGTTTTATTTGCATAATTGTGCTTGACGTTCACGGGAATCACTTTGTTTACTACTGGTCGAATCCTTTAATGAAAGTCAGCATAATCTTTGTTTGTAGGTTCATTAATCCAGCAAATGTCTTATTTCTTACAATTAATTCGATTCGAATTTCATCAGTTGACTTGATTTAATTTTGTTTCCTGTTCGATACCCAGACTCGAATCAGCGAACCTTTCGCATTGACCAAGATTTCCCGAGACCAACGAAATAAGTTTTCTTCAAAACTCAAATCAGATTCAATACTACCGTGTGATGTCGGTGGTGAGGCTGTGGATTCGTCCACAAATCAACCTTTGCAGGACACCGAAAACAATAACCCCGATTCAATCGATCATACTAAAGCTGTTGAGGTGGATTCGATTGCTGTCACCAAGGTGGATCGTCCAACAACTGATATTGAAACATGCGAAGTCAGTTCAGATGAAGCAGCACAAACAATCCCCACCGAGCATATAGAAACAAAAATCAAGACAACAAATCCTGAAACATTAGATCGGTCGGATGCGGGAAAAGCTACAGAGCGCGCACCCAGTTCAGCCAGTCATTCGCCAGTTCGTTCACGAGCTGAAGTTGTGCAGGATGAGGAGGCGAGTCCAACCGATCTGTCCACTATGGCGAGCAAGTCTTCTGCGCAATCCGGCTATCGTTTGGTTACACTATCCGGTCCGCTCCAGGCCCAACTGATGGCCCATTGGCGCATCTTTCAGTGTCTCAAATCTCTTCGTCCGCGAGAGGTAAGTTCCGGCGACATTATTTCTAAAATTAGGGTTTAGTTGTCATATAAAGTGTTCTCATTCGCACCGAAGTCAAGAAGGTCTCGCTTAGGCGTTATCTCCGGACTTGGCATACCTACTTCCATCGACATGCATAAACGCACATCTTTTATTGCACACACTATTGTGTGATGAACGGCAGAAAGTGTAAACCTCAAAGTCACGAGGACTTACCTATATAGGCCCCGCATGGGTGCGGTATTGAGCCGAGTGACAGCGAGGATACCACCAAATTTGAGTAGCAGTGGAGGGGCTCGAACCCTAGGGTCCAAAGCACACCAATGACACATAAATACAAACATCGTATGTGAAAGTGGAAAAGGTGTCCAGATTCAGTCACTGGGTATAGTTAAAAAATGTCCAGTTTAATGTAAATATATTATTGACTCATTATTTATTCTTTTGGGTCTCTGTTCGCTGACACATCTTCGTGGTACATATTAAAGCTTTGGCAGAAAACTTCAGATAACGGGCCTTCAATGGCTCATGATGTGGTAAGTTGTTGATCAATTTTCTCGATTGAACTCCTCGTGTGTGCTGTCACTCAGTTAACTTGGCTTTCTTGTTGCGTTTCGAAACGCGCTACTTGCTGTTCTGTTGTAGAAACCCATAACCTTTTTTTGGAGTACTAAACTATATAAAGTCCCAATATGATGGAAATGGCGTCTAGCGGGACAACCATGAACCTGCCTTCCACTACAGTTGGATGGTGGTAGCATGATTCAAACCCCAGACCGGACCCTAGGGTCCGAAGCACGCTAATGAAGGAAAACTAAACCGCTTGACCACCATCAAAGGATAGTGAGTTGTAAATAACTGGGCATTGATTCAGTGAATAAACAAACGCAAACACAGCGGTAACAGCTGAGGACCTTGTGGGGTTTCGTCCTGCAAGTGGTCTCCCTCCACCTAAACGCCATAAATTTCCGTGAAAGGCATCGTTGCGCGCACCGATCTGTCGTGTATTTAAAAAGGACCGTCCCCATCCCACATGAGCAAAGCTTCTTCAGACATGTGATAATTGAGGGGCACTTCAAAAGGTATAAAGGAAGGGTAATCAGTCAAAAGTGAAGACAGCTACGTCCCAGACGTACTGAGGTTTTCGGAGGCCTAGGAACCTAAATGAGAGTACCTCTTTGTGCTATACCCTCAGTATTCTTCGTGGTTTTATGGGTGCAAACTCTAATGTTATCGACGAGTATTTGTTAGATCTAACCCCTTGTAAATGATGTCAGACTGGTGAAGTCAAATTTTAAATTTGATGAAATCAGCGCTCGGAGTATGTGTGAGGTTGGCTGAAATTTTCCTAGAAAACGTTTTACATGTTAGAAAGTTTGGTAATCGGCTGTTCTGATAAGTTGTGTGAAGTAAATCACTGCATTAAGGTGAAGAAATTCAGGGATCTACTGATCAGTTCGAGTTCTACAAGTACTCCAGGGAACATTTCCGGCATGCAAATAACAGGTGGGATAAAAAAGTAATCATATACATATAACCGGTTAGATCAAATGGAGGGGCATAGAACAACGCAAGCAACGTTAAAAAAGCATTGATTTAGTTTAAAAGTAATAGCGTGTTCAGACAAGGAGCAATCGCGGTTAGAGATAACAGTGATAAACTTAACGGGTGCATGGCCGATTGAAGGTTCATTACACACATGCATGCTCGAATAAGCCTCGGCAGTGTTGCAGCGCTTACTCTTCTGTAAATAAGAACGGCATTTGTGTATCTTTGCTGTCATCCGGTTCAATACCACACCTAACCTATCGGGGCCTTATGTGGTTCGCCACTCCAACTCCCGGGGCTTAGTTTGCCGGTTTCCATCACTGAACAACAGGTCCTCATGACTATGGGGTTCGCACCGTCTGCTGCTCATCACACGCGGGTGTGTAATAAAAAAAATCTAGAAGAGTTCACATTCAGATTGAAGTTTTCAGACCAACGGACAATTTGCGAGTTTGTCGCGGCAGCCAAACAATCAATGCTGAGGTTAGACGCCAAGTTTTAGGTAATCGCGGTCTCCCACCGGGGCAAGTGGTCGACCTCCACATGTTACGTTGGTTCTTGCAAGTGCTGCGCATGCCATCAAATAAATTGCCACGGCGCATGATGTTTGTCGATGCACGTAGTCGGTGGGAAAAGTCAAGGGTCATCAAACTGACACCTGGTATGAAGGTATGAAAATCCTGACCAGGTGACTTGCTCACATAAGTCGCGTTCGACTTCCTGCGCTTTGGTTGTGAACTCAAGAAAATTCACCCACATTGGCCTGGGCAACCTGGCAGTATTCCGCCCACCAGCAAATCATGCAGTGTTTTTCTTTTTATAAAGATTGTTGTGTCGTGATTTGTTTGGCACAGTCTGAAGTTAGACGTGTGTGAAATACAATAATACAATATCTCGGGATAAGCATAATCGAAATACTCAGTGATATAGCTGAGTTTCGTAAATAATGACGTCTGTGTACCTACCCTTGGTCTATATGAATTCTCTGTTTCATTCTTACTCCACACTTAATATAACAATCTTCTGCTCTTTCATCCATATGGACAGCCTAAAGATAGCAGCTAAAACCGCCACACGAAAATCAATGGTTAATGGTTGTAAAAACTGAACTGCGAGATATTCCTCTACAATTAAGAAAAATAGTTGTCATAAGACATCATCAGGGTGTTTTATATTTAGTGAATCTAAAAACGTATAAGTTACACACAGATAAGGGAAATAGAAAAAGTGATAACATAACACCATGCATAACCTTCACTGAGAAGGTTAACGGGAAGGTGACTTCACTATGAAAAGCGGCGAATTGCTCGCATTTTGAGTTTAGACTAATCAAATCACTAAATTACTTTCTCGCAATAAACATGTCCGTAATCGGATTTTTTTCTCTGTTACTCTAATTGCTCAATGTCATGTGTTTCTAGGTCACAAACAACTTGGCTAATTCCTGTCCGTGGATGACCGGGTTTCGCTTGTCTCGAATGATACTCATCCGATCATGGTCTGTAATACTGATTTATTACCAGTTCCGGCCTCAAGGGCTCTCCAAGTTATTTTTGGGTCGTAGCGACAGTATTTTAGTTAGATCACCTGTTCAAGTCAAGTTAAACGCTACGCTTGAGAATCAGGTACCTTGCTTGAACTCTGAACAAGATTAATGTTCTGTATATATCGCTTTATGAAGAATGCTGTAGGATTCATTTTAATAACCTTAGCTGTCGTCTGTGTTAAGGATTAGGTTTTGCCGCCATACTTTGACTATGTTGGAAGGCAATTTCGCCATCACTTGACGAACTACCACACCTATCCTATTTACGCTTCATTTGCGTCGTTGCTCAGTTTTCCGGTCAGCTGAACAGTAGGTCCTCATAACTGTAGGGTTCATCTCCTCTCTTATTTACACCATGGTGTATACTGAGATGCGTAAACAACAGTGGTCGACACAGATTTCTTTAACCCAACTTGCCAAATTGTTAATATAAGCCTGTCCAGTAGTCTCATGATTCGTTTACCTATTATGCTCTCGGCTAGTTTGATCTAGAGTAAGTGGGTTTAGGGATTCATAATCAAAACTTTCAGCCAACCTAGACATTATCCGGATTGTTACCAGAAAACTGTCTAACTCGAGTTCTGACCGAAAGCATCCTCTTGTCTATAAATATGAACTTTTGATTAGGTTACTGAGTATTGATGGGGTTGTCCAGCACTTATGTGTACTTCGCATTACCTACGGCAATCTGTACAACGCGGTTTTGGCCGCTTGTACTTGTGACGGTGCTCCAAAATCTCCACAAATATTCATCAGTGAGATAAACCACATTGATCTTCCTTTAAGGCATGTTTTTGAAGAAATCAGAGTCGTCCAAGACTGTTGTCGTAGGGTTTGATCACCATATTACTTGATAGTATCACATTTGATCATCGCTCGGTGCCTCAGTTACTTTTCGATAACAGAACGCAGAACAGAGATGCAAAATATCAGATACAGAAAATCAGTTTGAGTCTTCAGTTATGTTTTGCTGACGGCCGCTATGTGGTCACAATTGGCGAACGTAGTTGAAGTTTTGCTGTTCGTACTTCAACGATCAAGAAGTATTGTGCATGTCTTTCTTACTGGTACTCAAATCCCACCCGTCCATTGTAAGTGGTCCGTTGCGTTTAGGGATATTTTTCCAACATTCCGCAATCAAACGTTTTTTGAACAAATGCGTCTGATGACAAACTACGTTCGAGTACATAAGTGTCATGTGACATTGCTGCTACTGAAAGTTTGTATGACAGACTAAATTATGTGATAGCACCAAGTCCGTTCTGTTTCTTGGTTTGTTTCCTAGTTTTACTGGACAATTTTTTTTCCATGAATCATTTTATCCACAACCTACCTAAGTCTTCTACCTGTTGTGGATATTTTGTGAACCTGTAAGTACATGGTAACACGAACAAAATTCTGTTTATCTCGAATCATGGTTGGTATTCACTCTTGCCATTTGATTTTTCTTCACACACCCTTGGTTCAGTCCACGCACACCAGGTCAGCGTTACCACCAGTCAGTCGGTCGGTTGAATTCGTTGTTCCGTTCTCAGTCTTGTTCTATTTTTCCCTTTCACTATTGTTTCTCTTGACCGTTTTTTAACATCAACCCACTGTTCTCGTAATTGCCCATGCGCGTATCCAATTTCGTATTGCCATTGATATCTACCCCCACATTTTCATCATTTATTCTTAACTTGTAGGAGAAGCACGATAAGGTCTCAGCAGATAAATCCACAGTGACCAATTCTGACGACAGTTCACGGTTGAAGAATGCAAAGTCGGATACACCCAACTCACAATTTCACGCTGCTGAAACACTTCGTTTGGCCACTTTAATCTGTATTCCGTACGCCTTCTGGTCGTGGCTCACTGTTCCCAATACCACCTTCGAGCACCCAGACCTACCGGATGAAGATCGACAGCGAACAAATGCTTCCGCCCTAAGTTGGCTTCAAGCAGAGGCACGACGTCGCATGCGGGATCGCTTCCCGGACTACGCGCAGATTAAAGCCATTTGTCCTCTAAGGAGACCGAAAAATCGAATCATGGCTCGAATTTGTCGCGGTCCAGTGGTTACCGGCACACATGCACCTACCACACCCACAACAGCAGCTGTTGGCAATTTGGCCTCACCCATGGATGATATTGTGACTGCTCTTTGGTCTGATCGTAGCCGAGCACCAATCGAAATCTATGCGGATTACGAAACAACCCAGGTAATCACTTGATATTTTAGATGAACATCTCCTATTGAACATGCTATTTTGGATTTGTGTGACTGTGGATGCCACCCAGCCAATAACGGTTGTATCCAGTGATGGGAAACTGCACATGACATTGGCTAAGGAAAAACCAGTACTGACCCTTACGTTCGCATTCGGTTGGGTAACCTCACTGAGAACTTTACTATTAGGCCAACACGCGGAAACTAAAACTAGAGCGAGTTCTGAAAATTCAAAATTATGTGTTCGGCTTAGCGCATTTCATTGCTCACTGTATCATTCAGTGGTGATGGTTTGAGGTTTAGATTTCACTCCTTGGAAGTTAGTTCATTCCTCACCAATCAAAGGCATTTGATTTCAATCAGTACACGAAAACTATGCACTGCTGACAGTCCTGTAAAGACGAAACAGCTTTCGAGTGCTCTTTGTCGACCATGGCGAGGATTTCTGTTTCAAACAAATCCTGTGGGGAATGCATTTCAGGTCATAAAACAGCGGAAATTAACGATTTTTCGTGATAAAATACTTTTTCCAACGCGCAGTTCTTGATGTTTTCTTGATTCTGGGGACCATTTTGATTACTGTTCCCCGAGTTCGACAGTTTGTTTGCCGAGGTTTTAACCCAAATCGAACTAACATCCTCTGTGCTTATGAGTGGCCAACCATGACAGGCAGGCGAAAATGATTTCAGTCCATCTGAGCTACAAGAACTGATTTTAATCCTTTATCAAATTATTATGTGCCAGACTAATCTATAATAGGTTCGCATGAAACCGCTTCCTCAGCATATTCAAAGATCTTAGCTGACCGAATAAAAGGATAATCCACTGATGTATTGCAAATGCCTCCGAAAACCTCAGTATGCTCTGGGGTGGCCGTCTCGGGTTGTGGCTGGTCACCCCTCCCTTCCATTTCACGAAATACCCCATACGACCAAGCGTCTCAAACAGCATCTGCTGGGGAAGCCCACTCACTACCTTCCTGCGATGGTGTTTTTCCCACCAGAATGAGAGAACGAAAAACCAATATCCAAAGCTATAAACGAATCGATGGACCACTGGTAGTACACCTAGAGGAGTTGGTCAAAAACCCTGATTTCAAACCAACTATGAGGAGGCGTACGAACCACACTCACCCACACCCTCCTCAGTGTGGTAGTGGTCACCGGCTCGATTGAGCATCGAGGTCTGCTGGGCACCTTAGACGTTTGACCCCTTCCAAAGGGCGTATGATCCGATGAACTAGACACCGGCCCCCAATGGATTGTGGTCTTTGCACACCGCCTAGCTGTCTTGCGGTTCAGGCTTTGGTTGGCCAAAGGCTCTACTTCTGGATTCCTCAAAAAAATTCACGTGCCTTGGCCTAGGCAACCTGGCAGTATTCAGCCCACAGGCCAATCATGGAACGTTTCTCTTTTTTATAATGATTATTGTACAATGGTTTGCTTGGCCCACAGTCTGTCCTCAAACAAGTGTGAAATATATATTGAATAAAACCCCTGATTCCAAACCGACTAAGCACATGAGTACGACCCAAATACATTTTCCTGGTAGTGGTTACCGGTTCGTTTTGGCAAAGGCTCGATGTGTAGCTAAAAGAGGTTAATATCAACGGTAAATTCATGGAGTTACCTCTGGGGCGATAAAGAGTTGTTAATAATGATGCCATTGTATTCAAGAAATGATGATCTTGAAAAGGCGAAGGTGGACTCCGAACAATTTCTTACGTCTAGTTTGAGACCGAAGTTGTAAGGAAAACATGCTATATTTGACAACCTCTGTCTCCAAAGCTACTGAAGCTGATAGTAATAAAGAGAGACTGACGTGAACGAGATCATCTGTTGACGGGTGAAAAGCCCATTCATTCCCCAAAAAGGAATTATTTTTTTAGCATTGATTTTTTTATAAACTTCAAGTTGCCAATTTTTTTCAATCCGAAACAGATTGATGTCACTCGGTTCGTCTCAGATTGAACAGTTCTCCCATATTTTTGGACTTTTGAACTAAATTGCAAAGTCATCAACAACCGACTCAAAAAATAGTATGTAAACATAGATGAGTTTGTTATCCAAACCGCATTTATTTTAAGTCAAATGCACAACCCCGCCGGAAGCTCCGTCTTCCCTCTGTTTCGGTTGGGTTTCGGAGATCGTATTATCACTGGACGTCATATTGACTAGGTCCGGTTGGTATTGTATCTAACGAGTACTCGGTCGTTCATTCAAACACGCCGGGTCTTGATTGCCGTTCATTTCACTTCGGGTCACACCTATTTCTACCCAATTTACTATGTGCCTATAGCAGCTGTCAGAATGCTCAGTAATGTGCACAGAAAATCAACATGGGATATGAACATCTGCATTGTATTGTTTTGTAATGAATTTTGCAAGCAGCTGTGCCTGCAGTTCAGTCAAAACCGTGTTCACCGTCACATTGGGATACAAATAATGAAACCTTGCAAGAAATGCCATATTTCTAGGTTTACAGTTAACTGGTGTGGGAACTTCTTCCTGTCGGGTAGAATGCGATCCAAATAATGTACTGCTGAATTGCAATAAATATTTATACAGTAGGCTGTCGTGAAAATTGGGTCGGGTTATGGCGTGGGAACGGCAAGGCGGTAGATCGGGGTTAAGAGGGCGATTTGGGTAGTTAACAATCTTATGGGCGAAATTCGTGCACAAAATTGTATGAAAATGCCTATGGTAATAAGATTAACACGGCTGATATTTATTGGACCGCGGTGAAGAGTAATGACATCCGTTTTAATTAGGCCAGAGAAAATCACAGACGAACAGTAAATGACGACAGGAGAACTTGACAGACAAACAAAAGAACATATAGTTGAATGCTTTACTCTAAGTTGTCGTAGCTAGCTTATCTGAAATTATAAGCGACGCAATCAACCAGAACAGGCTTGCAAATGGTAGGATCACCGTAGATTTCTCTCTTTGATGACTGGGTTAGTTCGTGGTGTGTTCCGGTAAATGGTGCAGAGATGATGCCAGGGGGTTCCAAGGCATACTTAGACTAAAAAAGACTAACAACGCAGTGGGGACATTTAAGTGGCGGACAGATTTTTCTAGAATACTTGCACTTATGCTAAACTGCCAGAAAAGTATCTTGGTGTAAGACCAAACGATCCGCATATTTGACGATCTTGGCTGGTGGGATATAGAGTAAGCCACTGATGAGCGTTGAAAATAAGCATGGAAGAAGTGCAACACCCTAAGGAACTGCAGAGTCATTCCCCAACGGTTACGAAACGATGCTGTTTGCTTTCATTCTTTGAGTTCCTCCTGTGAAACGGTCTTCATAATACGGCCTGGTGTTTGTTTCTTTGTTACTTGAAACAAGTGGGCTAGGCTGGCACTGTTACTTTTAGAATCAGTGTTGCATAATGGACTCTCTTAGTCTTTTCCACTAACTCGACAATTTTTGATTCATCGGTTTCTTAAGCCACACCATTCTGTTCTGTTCTAGTCTTACAACCAATAATCATGCAATTTCGTGCGCCGGTTTTGGTTACTCATTTAGATAAAACAGCAAAATGTAGGTTAGAATGTTTACAGCAGATTCAAGCGGAAGATAGCGCATTTATATGGACTGATGGTACAAGAATAATGTGGGATGTGTTCAGTGACTTAACTGCCTCCCTGTCCTGTCAACTAGTCTTCACGGCATCCACACTTGATACAGAAAATGCAGTTTGATTTAGCGGGGCAGCGGTTCGTTCACCGATATCTTTGGTATCCGGGTGGTAGTGAAGCCATCAACCAAATCAACTGCATAGAAGATATGCATGAGGGTTGAGTTCAGCCGCTTTTGAGGCAATTATTGTTATTATTATCATTGTTTTCTGTGTCTGGTGATGAATGCACCGGAATATTTACTTAATTGTAGTACATTTTTAAGAGGTCGGTTTCCTCATGTAAAAAGTCCTTTCATATTTCATCTGCTCTATGAAAGAGTGCAATTTTGTCTTCGTCCCACGTTCGTTATTTCGTTGGCTATAACGATCACTTTGACTGCATTATGCCTGAGAATAGATGCATTATAACGTTCAAGTATACACTGTAAAGCCATATTTGTGAGTGTTTTGTTCGCTCCTAATGATTTCGTGTGGAATGTATCACGTTTGTGTTCAAGTTCCTAAATTGTGGTGACAATGTTCTGGGGAAAAAGTTGATCTGTCATCTTTTGGTGTGGAACTTCACTGATGCTGTTCCCATTATTTACTTCCACTGTGAAACTTTGCTCCTTTCTTTTTTCTATGCTTCTCTCTAGTTTCTTTTGGGTTGTTTGCATCATATGCACGCAATTTGGCTTTATGGCGAGACAGTGGTTCAACGAACTACGGCTATGTCCAACCAATCCGCACTGTTATCCACACCACCCTCTCGGAGACAACAACCTCTAGTCTATTCGGGTGCTCGAAGTGGTGTCCCGTCACATCTGGGTCCGGGACTACGACAAACCATACCAGCAGCCAATGATCTGAACGGACTTATTGCAGCAACATCTGCAGCTGGACGAGGGACGCTGTTCGATTGGTCTCCTTTGTGGTGGCCCTGGTTACCGGTCGATCCATATGGCCGTGTACTAGGTAATCCGAATGGCGCTGTCCAATTAACTCATCCTGGTACGTTTATTTTTGGTAACATGACCAGAGGAATATGAGGAGTTGAGTGGTATAAGCTTCATGTTGCTCACGAAACGATTTCCGACTTTGATCACTTAGTACGCGGTAATCTGAGAACTTGTCCCCGCTACACATAAACTAGAACTAATCCACGGAGGTTTTGCTTTCCAATTTCCGTGTCGGGATTTTCTTTTGTTAACTGCTTCATTTAAGAGAACTCATTACCAAATTCGCCATTCATGTCTTGCTCGTATTTTGAAACATACCAATGATTATTGTTTCACCTTGGAATCCGGCAATGAAAAATCAACTGCCATATTCGGAGAATTATAATGTATAGAAAAT